AATACAGCCAAAATTTCCGTGACACTAATTATACATACATAAAAGTCTTTTTCGAGTTAAACTTTTATTTAGTGCAAGTATCTCAAAATTTTATAAAAGTTATAAGTAGCTATAGCTTTAAACTTTGCTACTTCAACAATAAATCAAATATATTGCACATTTACTAACCTCTTGTTTCAACAAGAAGATTTATAATTTACTTAGCACTATTATGGCCTTGTGTTTATTCCTGTTTCATAAGTTCTCTAGAAAATAATCCCAACTTTCGTAAGAAGCAGTACCACTTTTAAGCTCATATAAGTGAAGTATATACCAAGTGTTTCTGTTACTAGTAAACACATTACTAATTTGTATTATACTTCATTAAAATATAATTCAGCCTACAAAAACATTAAGAATATAATTCAAACTTCTCATGTCCGGACTAATATTAATATCAAACAATCACTTTTAATAACTTGTTTTTACCCATTAAACCTTATAACTAGTAATATCCAACTAGCATTGCTATATCTTTCGAATACAGCTGGATAATTTTACCCATTAAACCTTATAACTGGTAATATCCAACTAGCATCGCTGCATCTTTCGAATACAGCGGGATAATTTTACCCATTAAACCTTATAACTAGTAATATCCAACTAGCATCACTGTATCTTTCGAATACAGCTGGATAATCATTACAGAATAATCCCAAATTTTTAGTTCTCTTGAGATAACAAAAAATTCTAGTAATAGCATTCCAATGTTCAATAGTTGGATTACTAGTGTATCTATTCAACTTACACACGGAAAAAGTGATATCGGGTTTAGTAAAATGCATTGCATACATGAAAGACCCTATAACACTTGCTTATTCAAGTTGTGCCACAATAATTCGTTCAAATTGTTGGGAAAAAAATCAATGGAGAAAAATATAATAAGACCTTGAGGCTCATACATTGTTTTTAAGGAATAATTTGCCTCACAAGGATGCTAATGGTTACTAGCAAAAACCCTTCAGGATACAATGAAGTCTCGAATGAGAATACCATATAACAATTCTAGTATTTCTCCAAGAATTCTCAAAAGGAAACAATCGAAAAAAAAATGTTGTAATTTTTTTATAACTGCTTTTTAAAAATAACCATTGAAAAAAATAATCGTCAATTAATAGATACACACTCATATCTTTTCATCAATTGAACATATAAAAAATAATCATCACACACTCATATCTTTTTCGTTGTGGGACAATGCACCTCTTTATTTATTTTACAAACAAACTATCAACAATCAGTACCGGATGGCTTGCTTAGCTCGTCCTATGTCTAATATAGGATGGGCGAATTTGAATGAGGATCTTAGTAAAAATTCTTGACCCAATTATCCTTTGCTCGGGCCGACCCTTTTTTGTAATGGACAGGCTTCGTAATAAAGTTCAGCTTCACTATGTGCCCGACCTTCCCATGTGGGAAGGGTGGCCGGCAACCCCCAGGGGTTCGTGTCTTTAAAAGTGCCGCATGGTTGTTTCGTTGTTTATGGTGTTAAAAACATCCTTTTCAATGTAAGTCCTACACAGTCATCGATCAAATGTACCGGAGCTCATCGTCTTCATCCGGCCTGAGTTGACGGACGTCATATGCCACCTTCTCAGGTGGTTGCCGCAGCCATGTTCGCGGCAAACGCACCATCTCCACCTCCTCGTTTATGGAACCATTCCACCCACCGCGCGTTTCTCTCATCGTCGTGTCCATGGACAAGATCACAGATCTCAGATTTGAATAACAAGTTGAAGCTCCTCATCGTCTATGGAGACGATACGAGATGTCGGCAAGATAGAGATATGTGACCTCGGGTTTCATTGCCGTCTTCTCGGACTCCATCCCCTTACAGCATCTCCGTCTTTAGTTTCAATTCCTTTCCTCCCAGCTCAACTTCACCACAGCCCACTAGTTTGCGACCGCGACTTCGGTGCTGCTGCTTCGCTTCTCGGTGCCACCTCATCGAAGAGTTCGGAGTGCGGGGATCGCCTTCTTTCTCCTCACTGGCACCGCATTCATTGAATTGCTCGCGACGGTTGGCAACCAATCTTCACCGGTGAATAGAGAAGAAAGACGAGGGGGGGATTGAAAAGAAGATATCAGCCACCAAAACGACTTCCTTTTTCTTTTCTTATAAGTGGAAGGAGAAGCCACGTCAAACTTACACATTATAGCCTTGCATGGTATGGTTGGTCAACGAGTGGATCTCCAAGGCGGCAGATCATGCCTTTTTGATATCGTTCATCATCGAAACGATGACCAGCAGATGTGAAAGTACTTGTGTTTTTACTCTCTTGTTTTGTCTTTTTCCCGACCAATTTGGTGGATATACCAAGAAAGGAAGGTACGCTCGCTTTTTGGGGAGCCCGGTTGACCATGAATTGCTGGCTGTGAGAGCGTGTTAAGAGGATCTGACCAATTCGCAAGGGCCACGAAGACCTCGCAGGATCCAAATTTTGAAGCAACCGGTGCTAGCTTCCCATCCACGCGAGCCCATTTTATCTTGGCCATTAAATCGTGTAGATTTCACGTGAAGACTGATGTAGGCTCACGTACCCGGATCGCACATAAGAATATTTCCGGAATTTGAGTCAATATTGAGTGCATCGTATGATAGTTGGAGAAGTTCACCACCATCCTAAGGGTATGTGGTTATTCGATTAAATCCATCAAAATCAAAGACAGTGGCGCGCTGCCATCAGGCTCGTTGATAGGGTGAGGAACGGTCTATGTTCTAATTGACGAACTTGGCTTTGAGTGGATAGGTTCGTGGGTTCAAAACTTGGGAACCGACTAGGTTAGGTTTGATCCCGAGATTGTGTCTCGAATATGTCATTCTACGCATGTATACAATTGAGTGGGTAGATTCACACATAAAACCATCATATTTCTTTTTATTATAAAAATTAGCGACTCAAAATAAAAGAGACTCACAAAGACAAAGTCATAAGTCAAAATAAAAAGGATTAATATCACAAAAAATCCAAAACTGGAATTCCTATGACGAATTTATCCCGAACTATTTTTTTACTACTAAAAATCCCACACCGGTATACTTGTGACAATTTTACCTCGAACTAATTTTTTTACAATAAAAAACCCCAAACTGGTACACCTGTGATAATTTTACCCCAAACTAATTTTTTGATCACTAAAAACCTCAAACTGATACACCTATGATAATTATACCCCAAAATAATTTTTTGACCACTAAAAATCCCAAACTGGTACATTTATGACAAATTTACCCTCCGTTAGTATCCGTTAAATTGGATTAATATCACGAAAATTTACAAATTGGTAAACTTGTGACAAACAGAGGAGTAAAATCCCAAACAGGTACACCCGCCAACTACCACGTATCATCAAACTTAGCAATTTGATAGTAAAATTCAATAGAAACTAACGGAGCATAAATTTGTCACAAGTGTACCGGTTTGAGGTTTTTGGTGGTAAAAAAATTAGTTCGGGATAAAATTATCACGTGTTTCAGTGTGGGATTTTTGGTGGTCAAAAACATAGTTCGGGGTAGGATTGTTACAGGTGTACTAGTTTGAGATTTTTTTTTGGTATTAATCCAAATAAAAAAGCCAATTATTTAATTTTTTATCACACTAAAAAAATCTGAAAAATGGAGAACGGTTTTTCGGTTCTATCTAGGAATCGGTCTAAAAAAGGCCAGTTTAGTTCAATGCAAATTCCAGGGTAGATCGATTTAGTTCTTGATTCCAGCTCTAGAACTTAGACCCGGACCATGCTCTCGCCTACTCGTTTGTACCTGCTACACTTAGGATTTACTCATGAAATTTATCATAAATAGGGCGTGTAGATTTGAGGTCGTTTAATTAGTGAAGATTTTCAACTTTCATTTTCACAAAAAACTAGTGCAAAGATAAATTTCAATTTAGTTTTTTATTTTCTCCTCAACAATACTGTGGGTGTTAAGATTGATTTCCAAAAGTAACTTGTAATGTAAAGTAGCACAAACCTAAACGAACATTTAGCTGAATAATCATGTCATATCCAAGTCTCAAAAAAAATCTAAAGCAGCATTTCGTAGATTGATATTACATGCCAATTTTAGTGTTGGAGCATCATTCTTTTGAGCATATTTGATTGCCAGATATTTAGACCTCTTGATTTCCGTTTGAATTGAAAACAATGAAAATAGCACGAAACGTTTTAATTTATTTCTTAACTCAATTTGAAAATTAATTGGGATAAGTGCACTGAAAGTTTTAAAACTCGTCACCAAAGTGCAATTTAGTCTGAAAACTTTCAAAAAGTGAATTAAAGTCCTAAAACTTGTTATGAAAATGTAATCGAGTCCTAAAACTTTCAAAAAGTGTAATCAAGTCCTAAAATTTGTCACGAAAGTGTGATCGAGTTCTAAAACTTTCAAAAAATGCAATCGATGGAAGGACTTGATTTGACCAATTTAATAAGTTTTAGGAATTTATTTTCATTTTAGAAAGTTTTAGGATTCGATTGCATTTTTTGAAAATTTTAGAGCTAAATTGCACTTTTATGAGAAGTTTTAGGATTTCCAATAGACTTATCCTAAATCACTTTCTTTTAACAAGCATGTTCTTGTAGATTTTTCATTTTTCAACTCCACTTAATCAAGCAAGTAGAAATTTTAACTCGTGCGGGCTGACGGACCTTATGGTCTTTCGCGGGAGAGGGAGGCACCGCCTGGAATTGCCGCTGGGCACGTGCGCATCGGCGCGTGGCCCTCACGCTCCTTACAGTTAGATACCGGCTCACCACGAAGGAAAGAAGTTAGTTGGAAGAGCAAAGCCGCCGCCGCGCGTCGGCTGCCAAGCCGAGCTCCTCAGTCGCATCGATCTTCCCCCCTCCTGAAATTTCCCCGCTCCCCTTCATCCGTACCCGGCCGGGCCGAGCCGAGCCGAGTCGCTCTCGAGCCGCTCCAGCTCGTTTGAAAATGGCTGCTATATAAGCCCGCTCTTTTTCTCTCTCCAATAGTCTCTCTCTCTCTCTCTCTGCGCATCAACGGCAATAAACGCAATGCAAATCAACACGCTCGCTCATTCACCTACCTTAATCCACCGCAATGCCAATCTCAGGCGACTCCCTCGGCCATCCCCGGTTCGACTCCGACCGCCGTCCCTCCTACCCGCCTCGCTCGGACCTCCATTGCGCATCTCGCTGCCGCCGACGCGCCCTCGGCGCCCCTTCACGGCTTCGTGCCTCAGCAGTTCGAGCCAAGAGCTCCTCCACGATGAGCCCGTGGTCGCCGCCGCCAGGAGCGACAGCAATGGCGCGCTGGTAGTTCCGAGCGAAGAAGGAGAGCTCGAAGCGGCGGGAGTTGGCACTGAGGAGGAGGATCTGGCAACGAAGAGCCTGTGGAGCCAAATCAAGGAGATCGTGATGTTCTCGGGGCCGGCGACGGGGCTGTGGATCTGTGCTCCGTTGATGAGTCTCATCTCGACGGCCGTGATCGGCCAGGGAAGCTCGATGGAGCTTGCCGCTTTAGGTTAGTTTGATCGATTGTTGGAGTTCCTCTGAATTGAGATCGATTCAATTGGAGCTCCATCGGTTTCAGGGAAGAAAGCAAGAAGCTTGCTTATGAGTCTAATTATCAGTGTAATTTTTCGAATGAACAGGTCCTGGGACGGTGTTCTGCGACAACATGAATCTTCTGTTCATGTTCCTGTCGATTGCTACTTCGAATATGGTTGCCACGTCGCTTGCAAAAGGGGTAAGCATTCCGAGCATTCTAGATGAATAATTTCTTGTTACGCAGTAGTTTAAGTGCGGTCGGTGACATTTTAGATTTGAGAGTGTGAGAATGATATGGTATAGAGTTTAGAATGATTAACATGCCTGCTTAACAACTGCATTTCTCACAAAAGCTCAATGCTGAAACATTTATGCCTTGTTTCGTTGGTTCCCACTGTGGTCCTGTGTCAAAAGCGAATTTACATCCTGCTGCTGCGATGTACAATTGCTTCCAAGTACCTTTCACGCATCTGGTTGCGATGGATGTAATCGTATGTTTAAGGGGTTCATCTGGTACTGAATTTGCTCCTCCGAGTTAACCGGATGAATTCATTGCAGGACAAAAAAGACGTTCAGCACCAAATCTCCATCTTGTTGTTCATTGGATTGACGTGTGGGACGCTGTTGCTTTTGTTCACCCAATTCCTTGGATCACAAGCACTCACTGGTAATAAGCTGGTTTTCATTCTTCCTTGTTAAAAATATGTAGTAAACTTCGGCATATCATGCATAAGAACTAAGGAACAATCAGCTGCTTTTGTTACGTGTAAATTCGTTGCTAAGACAAGAAATTCAGTCTCCGAGAAACAGGGTAATGCAGTGAACTGACGAGCCCGAACTCGTATACTTGCAGCTTTTGCAGGGGCAAAGAATGTGCACATTGTACCTGCAGCAACCAAATATGTTCAGGTTCATTCATTTTCAAGCGTCTTTTCTTTTTGTTAACCAATTGTGATCATTTGCTAGCTTGTCATCTTGTATGCTTCTAAATTACAATATTTTCAACAATAGTTCAATCGATCCACCCTGTGTCTGTACGATCTCTAATGAGGAGAAATGGACAGATTGAGACCGTGGCAGATGATCCTTCCGAGGCCCCAAACTAGGTTTATAAGTTTTGCTAAATCTATACAAGCTGGATTGATCTAGATTTGAAGTTTTTGGCTTATTGAAGCATAGTTTAGATCTCATGCTCCTTGTATCTAATCACCTCAAGTTTGTAATTTTTTCACAAATTCATAAATGACCGCAATCATCTTCTTTTGATAGATCCGAGGACTAGCATGGCCTGCCATCCTTTATGGATTGGTTGCTCAAAGCTCGAGGTGGGTACTTCATATATATGTCCTTGTTTAGTACTCTGCAGCCTGTGCTACATAAGGCATGTCGATAAAGCACTGTGTGCTGATTGCTGAGCAGATTCATGTATCCATGTTTGAATGTGCTGTTCATTTCCTAGCAACCGTTGGAAGACTCCTGCATTAGTTGTTCTCCGAGGATCTTTAACATTGTACAATATGTACCGAGGCTCTGCAACTCTAGCCTCGTTTCATACGGAAAGTTTTTAAACATCATAAGGTTACATCTGGGTGATTGCGATATCATGCAGGATGAGATACTTTAGTACAATAAAGCTATTCCTTAGCATCTAGGTCTCTATTCTTTTTCTTGATTCTGTCCTCTTCAGGCATCAGCTGCGTGCCTTTTACTGTTCTGAGATATGCGATAACCACCTAATTTTGAGTCCTGAGACTGGCTGATACCTCTCAAGTTAAGAATATAGTTCAGATGCTTGTAATTTTGGCTGGCATATGCAGACCGGCATATCTAGTAGTTGTCGGATATCATTTTTGTCCACGCTTGTGAATCTAGTGGTACTTGATTTATGTGATGACCGACGAGGATGTGCTGTGCTGGTGATTGGTTGTGATAAAATAGATGAAATCACTCAAAATATTTTCTCATTGTTCTACTTCTAATGGCTTCCTAATTTTTCATTTCAGCCTTGGCATGAAGGATTCCATGGGCCCCTTGAAGGCTCTATTAGTGGCCAGTTCTGTAAATGGAATAGGTCACTTAGTCCTGTGCAAAATGTTGGGTTATGGTATTGTTGGTGCTGCTTGGGCAACAATGGCATCACAGGTATCCTCAAAGATCATTTTCTTGTTACTTTTTGGTGCAATCAGGGAAAATCACCCAGAAATTTGAGAATGAACAAACATAAATTCCCCTTTCAGCTTATATTTCACTCAATCCATGATGATCTTCCTTCTTGATTATCACTCACTGGTAAATACATGACCATCCAGATTGTTGCAGCATATATGATGATCGAAGCTCTGAACAAGAAAGGTTTTAACAGCTTTGCTGTCTCCGTTCCATCACCCAGCGAATTTCTACACATATTTGGGATTGCCGCTCCAGTTTTTATAACCATGTTTTCAAAGGTCAGCTCCATTTTACCAGAAAGATTGTGGTCTGTCCTACTCAATTACGAGGCTGACGCATTCGAGATGTGTCAACATTTCAGGTGGCTTTCTACTCGCTCATTACGTACTATGCCACGGCCATGGGCACAGACACGGTTGCGGCTCACCAGGTTAATTTTTAGTGCATTGCATAAACTGCTTTGCTTGGCTTCCATTCCAATTTTAGTGTGGCATTGATGAACTCCATGCGTATACTGTCAGGTCATGATACAAATGTACGGCATGTGCGTAGTATGGGGTGAGCCTCTCTCTCAAACTGCGCAGTCGTTTATGCCTGAGTTGATGTATGGAAGAACCCGAAGCTTAGAGAAGGTATTTTGGCTTCCACCTCCATAGATTCTGACATGTCGATGTACTGCCTTTCCTCGCACTTCTTGCTTGAGTAGATTTGGACTGCCCTGAAAAAGATATCTGTGCTAAAGGGACTTAAAAAATTCTCAGGCCCGAGAGCTGCTGAAGTCTCTTATGATTATCGGAGCAATTCTGGGACTAGTAATATCTGGTATTGGAGCTTCTGTTCCTGGTTTGTTCCCCAATATTTTCACAGCTGATCCTAATGTCATACAGCAGGTTAGTGCCTTTTTTATCATATCGATGACGTAACCTCCTTTTTCTTTTTATCATTTTACAGGCAACTATGTTCAATATGCTGATTTTGATTCTTTAATGCACTCGTTCTACCAAATTTTGGCATCAATCATTTATTTTGTCTACTCGGCATTTGTTTTTAGCACGGCAGGCACCGCAATATTGAGCGCAAGGTGCAATTTAAGCATCTCAGTAATTTCTTCTGCTTGTTCTTGCAGATGCACAAAGTCTTGCTTCCGTTCTTTGTTGCCTTATTTGCGACACCTTGTACTCATAGCCTCGAGGGAACATTGTTGGTAAGTCTCGTTACTTTCCAACTGTCTTCACTTCCTCAGTACATTTTAATGGTGACAAACGATCTCAAGCGCTCTGGCATGTTAACAATGGACACATGATTGGCATTGATCCTGGAGTACCGGATACTAATCACCTGCCCTGTTCTTCACAGTGTCATTTAATTCACAATACATGAGAATAAGAAGATCAGAGAGATCTAACATCAGAACCCATCTATTTTACAGGCTGGAAGAGATTTCAAATTTATTAGCTTGTCGATGAGCAGTTGCTTCTCTCTTGGCGCCCTCCTGCTTATGGTAGGGATCTGTTCCTCAAGTTTCTATAACTTTGATTTAAGAGTTCTTTGATTTTTTCTCCAAAATCTTTATGAACTGAAGCATTTTCCTTCATTCTCTTCAATATCAGCTCGTAAGCAGCAGAGGATACGGTTTGCCGGGCTGCTGGGGTGCACTCGTCGGGTTTCAATGGGTAATTCTTAGCAATTGTAGATATTTAAGAACGTCCCCCCATTCTCTCCTTATGCACTATTGCTCAAGACTTGTTTTCGGTATTCGTTATTCAGGCTCGATTCTTCCTTGCTCTCCGGCGTCTCCTCTCCCCTACAGGGATACTTTACTCCGAGACCTCGACTCAGTTTCAAATGGGGAAGTTGAAAGCTGCTTAAGTACCGAACTATCCCCGTGAATTTAGCTACAAATTAGTGAACCTCGAAGGAAGAGCAAGGACGGGTTCTTGCCTTTGCTTCAAGACCCTGAATTAACAGCTTCCTGGGAGGCATTTGTGCTCTCCAGACTCCACAATGGATCAGGAGGCTCTCATTCTTTAATACCGGATGGTGAGGAGAAGACAATAAGTGAGCACTGCTTTTGGGCCTGTGCTTTTCTCCTGCTAGGAGAGTACAGTATTGATAGATCCATTGGTTTTTTACTGTCAATTTGTTATGCCCAAGTGCATTCTCTTCTGTAAGGTGCTCATAGGGAACAAAAAAAATATACTAATTGTTCTTGAAGAGGAGGTGCTCGCAGTTTGCTCTGGAAAGTAAACCTTGAACCATGGATGCAGTCAGAAGAAACTTCTGATGTAGTGGCAAGCATAGGAAATGAACATTAACTGATAGAACCTTGGAGTATATTTATGGATATTAGCTAGTAATTAGTAGATGGTCATAAAAAAAATATTAGAGTAAAGATGTAGTTTCTAAGTATTTTCTTTCTCCCTCTCTCCCGATAATTCTAGAATATTTATATAACATCAAAGTTGCCAAGAAAGAGGGAGCCAAATCAAAACCCTAAATTTACCTTTCTTCTTGCCGTCAGTCTTAAAAAGAAAATGAATAATGACCCTTTCCCTCATTGGTCAATGTGTCTTTGAACTTTTTTATCTTGCTTAATGCCGTTCTTGAATTTTCTAGTTTTTATATGAATGTGGTGCTTCTGTTGATGGTTTAACTTTAACAAATTATGCTAACGTGGTCGTTAAAATTACTGAGTGGTCAATTGTTTTTTTGTTCAATTTAGCCCTTGACTATTATTTATTTGATCAATTTCATCCTTAAACTATTATATTTTTGTTCTTTCTCTCTAAAAGCCTCCACTTGAGCACGACGAGGATTATAAAATATTCTACATGATAAATTTCGATGACCCTTATCTAAAACTAATAATTTTCTTCACAACACATTGACAAGATACACACTACACGTGTCAATGTGTTCGTAATTAGTGTAATCGTGATGAATAATAAACATGACAGGTACGAATTAACCTGTTTACCTATTTATGACACACTTGTACTCATTTACTAAAGCAATTTAAAATTTTATCTTGTGTTACATAACATGTGCATTTGGATAATTTTACGACATGTACAAACAGGTAAACATTTTTACATATGAAAATTCATATCTTAAATACTTTGTATCGTGAAATCCAATTAATTAACCTGTTATGTTTGGGTTTTAGTGATGTGACATAGTTAATAAACATTTTATGTTGAGATTAAATCTAAATCTGACATGGTGCATGAGAGAGAATAAGAGAAACAGTTTAAGCACTGAATTAAAAAATAGATTATGGGGACGAAATGGGCGACTCCCCACCTTGATGTTACGTGTATCCATTTCCAAATGTGAATGGCTGAGTAATTTGTCCAACAAACAATTATAAGAGTAACTAGATGTAATTGCAGAACCAGTGAGTTCTGGCCAAAATCATTGCATAGCTTCACATTGATAATAATCTCTCCCTACAACTACCCATTTGGGAGTGGAGAAGAGGCAAAATAGGAAATGATAGAAGACAGTGGCGCTATGTGCACATTGGCATCCCAGATTAACAGCAGTTTCATCGCTCGAAGCTGATCAGAATCCTACAAAGGCAAACAGCATGATATGATCTCATTTACTTCCCCATAAATCCAATTAATGACCACACCGTTGCATGTTTGGACACTCCCACAATCCAGATGGCACTCCAAGATGTATGTTGCGTGAAACTTCCATTTTTATCTATCAGAGAACCTGCCATCATAGAATTAAGCGACGGAACAAAGGATGATGTGTTTGCTTAGATGTTCAAGAGGGATCATAGACCAAACGATGAGCTAGATCTTAAAACCCGGGGGCTGCCACGACGACCATGTCCTGCAAGTCTTGACGGTTGACCTTTCTTCTGCATAAATGACCATGAAATGTTAAGGAAGGTTCTCAAATTGCTCCCATAAATTGCAATAGGGATAATGTTTTCGAGTAAACTGAGAGAATCCTAAGATTTTCATTTTACCAAGAGAAGCAGATGGGGGTCAGCTCCTTTTCTAACAAACACCCTGCGAGCCTGCCTCTTCTTCTCCTCCGCCTGCATTTTGGTAATGCTGGGCCTGTATATGATAATGGTCCTACCAATCTGACCAACAACAACTGATCCGGTGAGCAACTCCAGTTGCTCCACAACCTCATCTAGCTCACCAGGACAAGTCCTGTGTATTTTGATCTAGCAAGAAAATTTGAAACAAATTACACCTGTTCATCCGAAACTTTCAAATTTTATATACCTGAGCTAAAACACTATACATATGAAATGCATACAACAACATGGAACTCTGGAAAAATTCTTTTACAAAGAGAAATCTGACAGCCCCTTCGGCTTTCGGAGACATAGGAATTGTTATAAACACCCTATTGACCAATCAAACTAAAAAAATATCCAGTAACCACACAACTTCAGGCCATTGCATAAGTTGTTGAGAAGCAGCCAGTAACTAACATCGGGGATAGGTCCAAAGTGCTCATCCACGACTGAAGAAATAGAAGATTAGTCAAAGCAAAAAATTGAGTTTCAATCCCCTAAAAATGGAATCCAACTTTGAAGGCAATATTGTCAAATCTTTTAATCCCACTCAGAAGGATCCCTTACACTACATAACAAACCAAACTAATAGCTACAAACATGAAAGGCCTAAATACCCAATCAAACAGCAACTATGCACATCACACGACAAAATGAAATGGTAAAACGAAGAACTCTTGCAGTAATAGCACGATTTCCCTATACAAACAAAAGATAGGAAATGAGCACTCAAATACATGAAATTTGACAAAGGTATACGTATACAAAGAATCCTCAATCAGAAAAAACAGTATTCCAAGACCAAAAAGTAGGTGTTTATGAGTGATGATGTCCGATCCAACCAGAGTCCAGAATAGAAATATGCAATTCGTCTCATCAGTAACAATTCTTCACCAAAACCCCCAGTCCAAGAACCCAACCTCTCCAAGTTTAAGACCAAGAAACCGTGGAGATGCATAAAATCACACTTGAAGAATGCTTCCACTCTCAGATAAAGAAATAAATCCCACTCGATAACACAGACTTAAACTAAACTAGCTAAAACAACCGTCTACTTTTTACAGATGAAACCCTTCCCTAGAACTAAAAAAACCCGAAACCCATCAACCATTGAAGATCTTACCCAACAATTACCCCCTCGAAAACCCACGAAATGGGCGAGTCATGGTTATTAAAATTGACCACAAGTTAGTGACAAGAAGAAAAAAAAGTTGCACATTTCCATGTTCAACATACCATATGCTCTTCCACACCACTGTGAACCTACATACAACAAATCTCCAAGCAAAACAAGTAATCTAAAGCACAAAACACACCTCATCTTCATCCAACCCCAAATTAATCCCATCTCAAAAACACACATCGTCACTCCTCACTCCACATTCAATCGGTCACAAATCAACAACAATTAAATCGTCGCAACAACAAGGGAAGAAAGGAAAAACAGGTACCTTGAGAAGCTCGTTGGCTTCAAGCGTCTCGATAAACGACGCCGCCACATTATCGGTAACCCCCGACTTGCCCACCAACTGAGACTTGAGCTTCTTCCCCAGGCTGTGCGCGTACGACGCAAGCTCCTTCTTCTCCTTCACGCTCAGATCAGGCACTTTCCCGGCCGTCCTCGGCTGCCGATGGGCCGGTTCTGGCACTTCTTCTTCTTTCTCTTCCTCTTCTAGTAGAAGCTCGCTGCCCTCGTCTCCGTCGTGGCCGCCGCCTTCGCCGGAGATCTCCCCCTCAGGAACCGCGTCGGCCGAGGCCTCCGGATGCAGGGAAGGTGTTCGAGCGAATGCCGCAACGGACGAGGAGGAGGAGGAGGGAGGACGAGAGCAAGCGAGGCGAGAAGGGACGGAGGAGAAGGAGGGTGGAATGGAAATTAGGGCACGGAATCGGACGGCGGAGTTCGGGAGCGACGGAGGTAACGAAAGCGCGTTCGACTTGGCGGCGGCGGAGGCGGGGGCAAACCGTGGATTGAGAAATAGAGAGAGGATAAGAGGAGGAGGAGGGGCCGGCGGCGACGGCGGTGGCGGCCGGCGAAGTTGGTGGAGGAGATGAAGCGACAGAGAAGAAGATGAAGATAGAGTTGCTGCCGCCATTTTTGCCACCGTCTTTTCCGAGTGAGCTCTTCGTTGCAGACTATTTTGTTTATGGGTTGGGTAAAAATGTAAAGAGAATTAATAAAATAAAATGACACCTGATATCAAAGAGGGTGTTTGGTCTAGTGGTATGATTCTCGCTTCGGGTGCGAGAGGTCGCGAGTTCGATTCTCGCAACACCCCGTTATTATTTTTTTTCTTCTCTTTCTCTTTTCTTGTTTTTCTTTTCTCCCCAAAAAGTTGATTAATAATAAATGGGATTATATAGTTTTTATAATGAATCATGACCAATATATTTGATTAATACCACGAAAAACCCTAAATTACTGAAATTAGTACACCTATGACAAATTTACCCAAAACTAATTTTTTGATCGCCAAAAATCTCAAAATGGTATATTCATGACTAATTTACCTTCGTTGATTTCCGTTAAATTGGATTAATGCCACAAAAAATCACAAATTGGTACGCTTGTGACAAACGGAGGGTAAAACATAAAACCAGTATATCCGTCAACTACCACGTGTCATTTAACAAAGCAATTTGACAGTACAATTTAACAGAAACAAACAGAGGGTAAATTTGTCAAAGGTGTACCAATCTAGGATTTTTGGTGGTCAAAAAATTAATTTGTGTAAATTTATCACAGATATACCGGTTTTGGATTTTTTATGGTATTAATCCTATAATGTAATACTAAACTTTGCTGATGTATTGCAAATCTAGCTTTGGTCATACCATGTTTCAATCGAGTTGTGCATGTAAACTATAAAACCATTCAAGTATGTTATGTATTTATAAGCAATTGATGGTTTCATGATTCAATGTTTTTTGTTGTTTTTACTTCTTTTAAGAACTCGGGTATATTTTCTCTTTGACTAATCCTCACAAATGCATGCACGTTACCTTGTTCGCATGTATCAAATAATGTCTCACTCGCCAAATGACAATATGACCGTAAAGGTGACTGTGGATGAACCGCTTTCTTATCAATTGAATTTCCGTTGGACTCTTTGACATGACTAGCTCCTCTTGCCTCGACCATCGCTCGATGCTTTCACCTCGACCACCTTATCTTTTTTGTCGCAGGCACGGGGAGTGATCTCGCCCTTTTACCATCAGGCAGTGGCGACTCCTTGCACGCCGCCGTCCTTTGCTGATCACCCTCTTGCCTTTTCACGAATTTAACGTAGCCGTCGGACACTGCGATTCCTTTTGCCTTCGTCATCGCGCCTTCATGTTGCTGTCGCCGTGCTACCGCAACCCTATGCTGCCTCTCCTATAGCTCTTTCGAGCTTTATCGTCATCGTTCTCTTCGGCCACTCCAAGCCAAAATTAAATGAGAACTACTAAAACCGTTCAACTAAGTCACATCACTAAACAGAAACAACAACAAAAAATCAAAAGTAGAAATCATAAAAATAGAGAGACTTCCACTCTAACCGGAAAAAAAAAAACGAAAGTTGCTTAAATTTTCCAAAAAATCTTTTGAACACCAAACATTTCATCGTAATAAAACAATAATCTCATTAATTCTCTTCATCGACCCGCTTTGTAATTAACTGTTCAGCTTATTGGATTCAACATTCTTCCGTATGCGTATAATTTGGTAAACTGTGTATCAATTAGTTTACTTTTGCATTTAAAATTGTTTATTACTTTCCTTTTCGATATCACTTCAACGTCAAATTAGAATTTATTCCAAAATTCGGAGGATAATTTTATTAAAATTCTGGTGTAAAATTATTCCGTATATTTTTTACATCATCATAATTAACACTTTTTACTGCTCATATGCATTTGTTTGGGAATTATTATTAAAATATTTAAGTATTAAATTACACATTTATCTAATAGGTTAAGCATTTTAAACGGTTACTAGTAGTTCCACAAAATCTCAAATGGTATCAGAACACAAACTCCTGAGTTTGCAGCGGTCTTATAGTATTCCTTGTATCCCTTATAGAAGGGTATGATATCCTAAATAACTTCTAACTTTAATTCCAATCCCAATTCTATTCTTAACTTTTTTTGTTCAATAAAACCACTAACTTTTACTTGAGTATATTTGCTAGACCTGTCAAATGGGTGGGTCGGGTCGGGTTTGGGTCGGGTCATAAATGGTCCGACCCAAATTGACCCATTAACCAATTTATGACCCATTTATGCGTAATGTAATTTTCTTGACCCATACCCGACCCGACCCATATCCAACCCATACCCGATCAGACCCATATTGCTAAAACACTTCCATATTTAATTAAATCTAGGAAAATTCATATCCAAACAAATATGAGAGTGCGAAGTGAGTGAGCGTAAGGTTGAGTAAGGGCGAGAGAGATGAGTTGAGTTTGAATTAGTTGTAAACTCATTTACGACCCATTTAATACTAATATTAGACTTCTACCCATTTATGACCCATTTACGACCCATTTAATACTAATATTAGACTTTTACCCATTTATGACCCATTTACTAATATATGGGTTAAGAAATGGGTTTATGACCCATTTTGACAGGTCTAATATCTGCCCCCATACACCCTCCTTCCAAAATCGCCCTTAGTGATCCTACTTGGCATTTCAATGTCATTGTTCTTGTTTTTTCCCAAATTTCAAATCCAAGAAGATTTCTTTTGGAGATAACTTTCCACATCTGCCCAAACGACGTCTTCTTACATATGAAATTTGGGTAAAAACTAGAGTAATTAGGGTTGGCTTTCTTCGATGCTCTTACTCCTAAGAGAGTCTTTCCTTCCATCTCACTCGAAAATCATCAATTCGCTTAATCTTTAATCTCTCGTGCTTGGGAATCTTCCATCTCTCGTGATTGGAGAGCTTGCATTTGGAAAGCTTGTGTTCGGGACACTTGGCTCGGGGTGCTCTAACAGCTTGCACTATGGGGTTTTCCATCTCTCAGTTGTCAACAATAAATTTCGGACGGAGGGTAAACAGTGACAAATTTGGGACTTAAGTAAAAGTTTGTGGTTTTTATGAGATAAATTTTTTTTTGGGTAGAATTGGAATTGGATATAATGTTGGAGGTTTTTTAGGGTATTAGACCCCTAACCTTACAATTAAAGATGTGGCTTGTATGCAATAAATTACCAAAATCTGTTTCATAAGACTCTGCTTGGATACTATTTTTTCTTTTTGAGCATTTCAATTTAAAATTCTAAAACCTTTTAAAATTTACTAATAATAACATGAAGTTCGTCTTTAATTTATGGCTAATTTATTATTCTAATTTTTTTTAAGGAAAATAAATACATTTTTCAGCATTTCTCGAATAGATACTTCTTTCTTCACACACTTCAACTGTGAGTTCTATCAAGTTTTCTTTGTCCACGCACTATGCAATATTAATTGCGTTTCGCGAACATACACCTCTACCTCTTTCTATATAAATCCTTTTTGGGCCCGCACCGTTCATTGCATTTCGCGAATAGACCCTTCTTTTTACATATAGTTCTCTTCATGGATGTTAAAAATAAATTCTTCCAAAATAATAAAAATCTCAAATAATGTCCTATAAAATATTTTAAAAACCATGAAAAAGTTTATTTCACAACAATTTCAAATATAAACTTTGCAATTTACATCACTTTTTTCATAACGTTGCAATTTATGTTGCACAAAATATAATTACTGACATAGAATTGCATTTTGCATCATCCCATTCATCTTGCCTTCAATTTGGCCAAAAAAAAAAAATGACACATGCCCTGAAGGGAACGCACGGGCTCAATGTCATATGCTAATTCAACATTCGCTGTTGATTTGTTTCCATGTTCTTGCTATAAATCCACAAACTGTGTATGACAGAAATAGTTTTTCCTATTCTAAGTAATAATCTGTTTGTTTGTTGATTAAGTATACGGTTCGTTTGCCAACATTCTTTTTAATATTTCGAGTAAATGATGCACAAAAAGTAATTTTCTTTCATAAACTATTTCCTGATATTAGGTAATTTTCAATTATTTGTTATATCAGTTATAATGCTATTTAGCTCTTTAGAAGATTACTATATAGACCCCTATTTCAGATTCCTCATGGCGCATGATATTCGATTGTGGTTAGTTATACATCTCTTTGGAGAAAAAGAGAGTTATTAAGAGAACGAATTTTCAAGTTAGTGATGCTTATTTATGCTTGATTGGATTGAAACAATTAAATATTACATTTTCCTTTTAAAAAAAATATATTAACAAAACTCTCAAGATAGTATCTAAGGAAAGAGACTGATAAAATTAGAAAGTGAGGTGGCTAACACTATCTCCTAGAGGAGGCGAAGAGGTGATTAAAACCAAATTTGACAAATTAAAGCAGAATTAAAAATGTTAAAATTAATATCATGTGAAGACAAAGTCTGAAGAGAGATTATGCTATAATCAGATTCACTTGTGTGCAAAATACTATCAAATATAATAATAAAAAATTAAGGAATACTGAAAATTGTTCGGCTTATTGTAAGCCTACGTCCACTCTCCATGCAGACAACCTATTGGCAGGATTTCACAAGTGAATCAATCGGAGATTACAGAAGTGAGTGATAATACTCAATCTTGATAGGTTTCACTATCTCAGAGTCACTTTTTTTACACCTCTAAAAAATTACAGTTTTGAAGCTCACTAAGATAAGTGTGTAAGGTAGAAGCTCTCTTGGACTTTGGAATTTCATACTCACGACCTCTTGTTCTCTTCGGTACCATAATCTCCTTTTATACTCCTCCACTTCAAATCTAACTTGTCACGCCTTGCACCCTACGAGATCGCAACATCCCGCTTGGTCGTTAAGTATGCGACTTCCCAGGACTAGTCGCCGACCCGATACAAACGAACTAAGAGTAACACATGCGGAAGTAACTTGAACACTCCATTCAACATTCAATTAAACGAGAAAGTAAAGAGACAAATGAAACAGAACAACAAACCACTTTATAAACATAACGTTACTTACAACGGCACACCAAACAAGCCTTACTAGAGGCCTCCACTACAAACCACACACATACTTAAAAAGGATCGAGTGG